CTTTTTCGTGAATAAATACAAATACAAATTTCATATTGTGTTAAGTATAAAAACAACATCTTATAACCGTCCAGTAATTGTTAGGAATACGTATTTAGCGGCTGGATCGAGTGGTTTACTCTAAGTTCCCGAATTGTTTTAATTTTCTTATACACAGCCACTGCCAGGCGCGGATCCATGGGGGGGGGGGGGACCTGGAATTGAAGAAAAAAAAATTAATAAAAAAAGATTTAAAAAACAGGGAAAAAAGGAAGAAGAATTTTCTCACGAATTGGGCCAAACAAATGCTCTCATGCCCCCCCCCCCCCCCCTCCCGCTAATTCATCGGCTGGCTGAATCGCCGCTTAATATTCCCTCAAAATTTGCACCTCCAAAACAAAGTGCCCTCACCCCCCCCCCCCCCCCCGCTTACTCACTAGCTGGCTTGGTCGCCGCTAAATATTTTCTCACGAATTGCCCCCCTGCCCCCTCCTGCCGTCGGCTGGATCCGCCCCTGGCCACTGCAACGGGTTATCTCATTTCGATCAGTGCAATCATGCATTTCTATTGTATTTGAGGGATCTGTTATTGTTAGCATATTTGTAGTCAAGATGAAGAAATTAATACAAATTAAATTCCAATAATGAACCTCTTAGTCAACAATTTCACTTCTCCTTGCCCTCGGGTATTTTCAAGATAAATAACAGCAAGAGTAATCCTGTCGTTTACCAAATTTGCTACTTTCGTTTTTTCATATTATTAGCTTCATAATATGACCGCAAAACCAGAATCAATGAAGCAGTACGTGTGTCAATATCGGGTAATTACACATTCTAAAAGGTGCAGTGGGTAACTGCCATCTTCAGCAAATGAACGCAGGAAAAAAAACAAGTTGTTTCCTAAGAATAATTGGAATGTCGCGGGCAGAAGGATGATACATATTGCACTTGAGCGCGAGTGACGTTAAAAGCATGCTCGGAGAAACTCAAGAGTTCCCGCCACAAATCAAGCCCGCTTTTTGTCAGAAATTAAAAAGAGGGGCAAGTAGTTGATGTACGTGATACCATGTCTTTTGCTTGTTTATTTTTGAAGGGTTAACTAAAGCATAATAATGACAGCTTCGGGTCTTTCCGTGCTCACGGGCTAATTCGGAAGTGGCAACTGGCATGTTTTTAATGCCAATGTATTACTCCGTCATCGAAACCCTAATGGAAACACGATTTCCGTTGCAGAGGGATTGGTGGGCGTTGACGGAATGGCGTAGCCATGGGGGGGGGGGGGGGAGGACTTGCCCCGGCACCTATTACCAGATAGCAAAAAGAAGCAATATTGTGTGCGCGCGTATTTGAAGAGAATTTGAGTGACAAGAGAGAGAGAGAGAGAGAGAGTTAAAAAAAAAAGGAATGAGGACAAATAAGATAATAATTTGTTATATGCACCCCGTCACGATCCTACGTTACTCGGTCCCTCGATTGCTCCTCTGTAATTTTTCAAATTAGTAAGATATTTGCCTCTTATGTGTGGATGATAATTAGTGCTACAAAATCATAATGAATAGATTTATTTCTATCCATCAAAATGAGTCCCCAATTTTAATGAAAACTTTAAGTGATCTAAATTATGATGGTGATGATAATTCACCCCCATCCCTGAAAAAAAAAATGTCAGGGTTGGGGTGTAGAGAGAACTCACCCCCCCCCCCATACACACACACACACACACACCCACACACACACACCCCCCTACTCCCACGTATGGCCTATTTGCACAATCCCCTTTAGCAGTAATCTACACGATACCATCGCAGTTCAGGAGTTTAGTACGTGTACGTGCTTTTGATAAGAGTTTGGTAATCTTCGTTAGATGTGGACGTAGAATATTCCCTATCTGCTTGAGTAGATTAATGATGCTTCCTGTTCTACCCAATTACTTTAAATCAAACGTTCGATTGGAGCAATTTACGGTCAGATTCCAGAGATAAATATATTCTTTAGGGAGTATTTTTTATCGTAAAACCTCGGAGAAATTTGAATGATTCCGGCACCAAGAATCCTAATCTACATAAATTTTGATCAATGCTGAAAATATCATCGAGAGATCGAAAAAGAGTAAGAAAGAGGGAGAGATAGGGAGAGATAGAGAGGGAGAGGTAGAGAGAGAGATAGAGAGAGAGAGAGAGAGAGAGAGAGAAAGTGTGTGTGTGTGTGTGTGGGGGGGGGGGTGAATAACCGCAATTTTTTTTCTCGAAAATACTTCTTTTAATCGCATCCCCATGATATGCTTTTAGCACTCTATTTAATCACTCCCTACTTTAAATACATCAAATGGATGCAAATGGAATTAAAATGAGTGGAGACAGATTATGATATTTTTCATGACCAAACATTTTCCAATCACGACAGATTGTCTGACCGTTTTGTGCGCTACAGACTACGCTCGTATACAACGTGCCCTCTGAAACTATTTCCGTTTTTATTTTGTTTTTATTTTTTGTCTGTTTGTTTGTTTATTTGGGTGGGTTCTTTTAAGGGGGAGCGGTTCGTGGGTATTCTTTCTTTGCTCGCCTTGTTCATCCTTTCTACTCTGCTTCTAATTATCTTTCTTTATCTCCCTCTCTTTCTCTTCTTTTCCTTCCTCCTCCAATCCTCCTCCATTTTCGTTTTTTCTTTCATTCTTTTATTATCATCTCTCGCCCTCAATCCCCCATACTCTTTTTTCATCTTCTTCAGCTTCTTCTTAATTTCATTGACTCTCTCTCTCTCTCTCTCTCTCTCTCCCCCCCCCCCATCTCCCTCCCTCATTCTTTTCATTCGTCTTTGTAAATTTGCTGGAGGCACTGCCGTTTGCACATTTTTTAGACATCTTTTTGACATGCAATCAGGAGCGCGAAACCGATTCTTGATGATCTTCCCACGGGTGTCAAAACGGCAATACAACCTTCACACTTGATGAATCTTCTTTTTTCAGTTCACATGGGACAGTCGTAGTTTTAAAATTCAAGTTTCCGAAACCTCGAAGTGTTCAAACAACCAGTATTCAAACTTTTAAACTACATGGCGGGCAAGCAATCATTTTGACAACAAAATGGCGTAACCTACATGTTTATTGCATCCGCACTCCACCCTAACATCTTCAAGTGTGGATCCCCTCCCGCTCGAAGTTATCGCGCTAACCTTAAAGGGAGTGTAGCTTGGCAAATACTGGTTGATGCCATTTACGGCTTCTTTTGGACAACTGCGCGTATACGAATGGACTTGATTAACGGTCAGCGCGCGATAGCGTTCACGAAACAGACCGAAGCTCTCCTGCACGCTTCGGTTTCGCGTATGTTGCACGCACATGATTGCTGTGGTCGCGTCGTCCGTAGTGGTCTTATAAGTTACCCGATTGGCCCCGAGGCAGACCACGGGCAAGACACGTAGTATCGTCAGGCTACACTACCTTTAAGATCTGTCGTGGCTTATAACTTCGAGTAAAGTTTCGTAAGCACTAGTGCATCCGCACGGTCTCTTTACTACAACACGCACAAGATAACCTTTAAGTTTAAAACCACGGCCTAAACGAACTAGTGTGTGTACCTAACGACACAAAGGACATCATGAAATCATTTTTGAAGGAGGAGAGAGGTGCATAGGATTAAGTTTTCGAACAAGTAGATTAAAAAATATAAGTGTGGTTATTGTCGACTACCCTAAAAATAAAAGTCTATAGAATCCATAAAGTCCGAATCTACCGACAGGATTTTAATGTCAATCAAAGTTTTTATCCAAAAATGTATTCATCTTGTGCTTTTCAAGAAGATTTTAGTGATATGTCAAAATCGATCGTAAATCGTAGATTCTGAATAGTTGAAAAAGGATTCATACAAAAAGATTAACAAAATAACTAACACAATGGAGAAAAAAAGGGGGACAAAACGAACACAAAACTTAACTGTTACTGGGAAATGTCAAACGAAACGAATTAAAGCAGCAAAATGACAAAATAGAAGCAACTACCAAGTCAAAGGGGTTCTCAAACTTATTAATTTCAAATATGCCGACAAACATTGCAGAGTTCCCGATAAACGTAAGCAGTGTGTGTGATTGGGGTGTTGCATCCCACTCCCAGCAGCACGAACGACACCCCCAAATGAGATGCACCTGTTTACATTTCCTCTACATTTCATTTATTTTCTTTTATCACAGCCTGACCATAACGCTAGTTGTTCATGGTCATATGACGTTTTACAAGTCATGACAGCGGAAATAACAAGAATCAGAGAGACGATTTCTCGCCCAAAACCCACTTATAATTGCATGGTGACCAAATGGAAATCAATTGGGAGTTGGCTGTCTTGTACGCCCGTAAGGTTATGTTGCCGTCGATAAGAAGTTGTGTGTTTAATTGTATCACGCGAAATATCGCTCAGCCTTTGAACGACTAATAATAACAGAGCTGTGAACGTTTGAAATACAAGATCACTGAATCTATGCGAATCTCAAATTAGCGCGGGGGAAGGCAGCGACGTATGCACAAAAATATGAACAAAAGGATAAAGGATAGGAGAAGGTCTTTTACTTTTTATTTATGTGATTGTTCTGATACACTTTATATGCGATACTCTCTTCCTTTTTGGAAGGGGGGGGGGGTTTGTGTCAGAGAAGTCGGAGTTTTGGGATTTAACAGGAAAGAGAGAACCCCTTAAAACATTTTACCCCCCTTCCTCCAATCAAAAACCAAAAAAAAGTTCGCAGTTCCCTTACCTGATTACCCATATTCGTCGTCATGTATACATCCGCATGTTTTCATATCAAGTTTTAAAATATAATGATGTTTTTTTTCTCTCTCTCTCTCTCATTTCTGTTCTGGCGGTATGCGTTTGAAGACAGTATGTTGTATGGCCTATGAATTCGTCTCGGATCATAGTTATCTCTTGAGATTACCTTGAGGCACTATTTGTTTTACTATTTCCCTTCAATAGTCGTACGGTAGTCGTACGATGTCACATTTATTCTCTTTTCCTTTTCTCTGTCATACAGGACCACAAACATGGAAAGACATTCAGCAATTCTTTGGGTGATCCTTAACCTGATGTTAGTTCACTTTTCTCATTGTAAAACGAAAACCAGTGCGAACGATCTCGACCATCATAACGATGGCACCGCCATCGGGCTCGACCTGGAGCCTCCTCTTCAGTCGATGTCGTCGCCGTCGTCGTTACAAGGTAATCAATTTAATGAAGAAAGCGAAATAATACAAGGAGCCAAAGACAAACTGCTTCGCTCCATTCTTAGGAGCACTGTTGTCGAGGTCAGTCGATATCTTCGTGTTATCGATGCTGCATCAAACCACGATTTATCGTCTGCGGATGAAACGACCGTGGATGCGTACGCACCTTCAAAAGCTGCGGTGCTGGGAAGCGGATTATACACCGACCAAGATGGTGCCGATGTCGGGTCTCTTCTTAAGCGGAGTCAACCTGCCCCGTTGAGGAAACGACAACTGAACGCGCTTGAGAGAGCTGTGATTCGTCAAGAGATCCTGCGTCGACTGGAAGAGAGCAAGAACCCCATGGAAATGCCGATCGGACTTCGTTTCCGGAGAGTGGACGGGACCGGTGGCCTTTCCAGTCACTATCCCTTCGTTCCTTTTGTGGACTCCTTCTTCCCGACATCGCATCGCCTCGGCTACGGGCCTTCTGCCCTGGCAACAAGACATTCATCGTGGAATACTTTCCTAAATACGCTACCTTACTGACCTTACCGGACTTATTAAGCCCCAAAGAACTTATATGCAAGTCATATCATAAGATACCCGATGAATAAACAGTGTTCTGTTGGCCTGGAGTGTAGTCGTGGTAGAATCAGAATGAAATGGTATATAAGTCCTCACATGCTGGTCATTGGTGGCATAAATCTGGAAAATCATCTCTTTTATGTCTTGAATAGCCAAAGTGAAGTCGATATATTTATTATTTATTTTTTAATTTCATTAAGGAGAAGATGCCTTGGTAAGTCCAGTAAAGAAGTATGACTCATTTTTTTCGCTCTTATATGGAAAATTTGGTGGCATAATTTAATCTGGAAAATATTCCCTTTTATGTCTTCAATAGCCAAAGTGAAGTCGATATATTTATTCATTTCTTTTTAAATTTCATTAAGGACAAGATGCCTTGGTAAGTCCAGTAAAGAAGTATGACTCATTTTTTTCGCTCTTATATGGAACATTTGGTGGCATAAATCTGGAAAATATTCCCTTTTATGTCTTGAATAGCCAAAGTGAAGTCGATATATTTATTTATTTCTTTTTTAATTTCATTGAGGAGAAGATGCCTTGGTAAGTCCAGTAAAGAAGTATGACTCATTTTTTTTCTCGCTCTTATATGGAAAATTTGGTGGCATAAATCTGGAAAATATTCCCTTTTATGTCTTGAATAGCCAAAGTGAAGTCGATATATTTATTTCTTTCTTTTTTAATTTCATTAAGGAGAAGATGCCTTGGTAAGTCCAGTAAAGAAGTATGACTCACTTTTTTCGCTCTTATATGGAAAATTTTCCTTTCCATTCACTACGTTTATATCACAGATGAAGACATGGCCCTTGTTAATGAAACGGCCATTGCAGCAATCCGGCGATGGAAGAACTTAATTTAATTTAACTTAATTTTAATTAAGGAGCTTTACATAACTATCTTAATCTAAGGAGACACGAACGAACGAACGATGTATATTTTATGTTCAAGGTATACTAATTTTGTTGTAATATCCATTATTCTATAATGTTCAATTATATTATTCAGAAAATGCCTTGAAAGTAAGATGGCCTGTCTGAGGGTCAAAAAACAAAATAATGACACGTGTAGGCATACAATGTAATTACGTATATTATCCACATGAGATGCCTTCTTACCCTAACACTCACTCTTCTTGAAATGTCAAAAGCATTAAGGCAATATTTGTGTTTTCTCCATCGCAAATCAGGTAGTTCGGTAGGGAGGAGGGGTTAGGAGATGAGAGGATGGTGGAGGTATGACGGAGGCTGGGGAGGGAGACTAGGTTTCTTGGGAAGGGCGACCGGGGGGGGGGGCAGGGAGAGTTTTTTAAATGTTCGTCTTCATTCAATATTATGACTTGTAATATTTTGTTGTATTATTGTAGTATTGTTTGTAATTATTATGTTATCAAAATCAATGATTTTATATGTAACAGAATTTTTTTTCTTTCTCGATTATATTAAATTTGTTTCATAGAATGAAAAATAAAATACGTTCTAAAACAAAAAAATAATAAAGGTATTTACTTAGTCATTGTTTTACGCAGGCATGGTGAGTTGCCATTTATAGGCGTTCGGATATTATATCTTCTGCGGGGGGGGGGGGGGAGGAGGTGGGGGTGACTAGCTTCTTTTGCCTGAATGTCAACTTTCCAGTTTCTGAACTTTGTGAGCGAGCTAAAATGTCATCAAACGTGTCATCACAAAGTAATATATTGAATAAAAATGATAAAAATCAATATACCACCTCAATGCCATATTTTGAGGAGACGATTGTTCGATTATTGGTCATTTCGCAGCCCCCCCCCCCCCCCACTCGCCTCGTACGCCCATGGTCATGATGTTGTGTTATAGCTTATGGAATCTCTATGATCCGCATGTCCTCAGACCAAAAATCGACCGGCCCTCAAGCCAAAATATATCGAACCGCAGAGCATAAGACCGGTCCCATACGTCCTATAATTGCTGTAGCTGTAACTATATAAGTAGTTCCTAGATCGGCCTCCTAAAATTAATGTGGGAAAAAACAGCTATGTATTTGCGAGCGACGTTAATACTGATCCTCTAAAGGCGATGCCATAGCTTATTTGATTGTGGCCCTTTTTAGGGCATCAACGCAAAGACATGACAACGAAAGCCTTATTAACAGGATTCCGCGAGATGTGATCATCTGACCAGAATCACCAATTTCATTTTTTGTCTACATAAACTCCAGGACACCGATTGGGAACAAATTAGACGGTTTTCATTATAAGTTTTAGTCATTATTTGACCAGTCCTCTATTCACGTGACCCCTTCCACACCTCATAACACATACGGGTCTGCAATGGTGTCCACCCTTTCATTGGCACATAAAGTAGGTCAGGGGCGGATCCAGCCGGCGGCGAAGGCGGGGCGGGAGCCCAATTCGTGAGAAAATATTTAGCTTCGGGCGAATCAGCTGGCAATTAAGCGGGGGGGGGGGGGGGGGGTTAATGAGCACTAATTTTTTGTTTTGCTCAACGGAGGGGGGGGATAGGGTATTGAGCACTATTTACTTTTTACTTAACACCGCCCCTTTGAGCAAATAAATAAGGATGAAAAATATGGTTGTTAAAATCTTTAACAAAACTATTTACCAGGGGTGGGGGCCCGTGCCCCTGCCCCCTTCTGGATCCGACACTGACGTGCGCCGATCATCAGGGCCGGACTGGAACTGAAATTCCATTAGGATGCTACCAGCCAATAATGCACTCACCTATAAGATAGATAATTATCAACACTCAGACCACAAATTGACCGGCCCTTAACAGGGGCGGATCCAGGATTTTCCCAAAAAGGGGTGGGGCGTGAATTGTACGAATTTGCGAACGCGCAGCCTATACGGCGTGGAGAACGGGGCCCGCTTAAAAGCCCCGGAAAATTTCGAACTTTAAGATGCTCTATGGTACATTCTGAGGCATTTTTGATCGCGTAAACTGAAATTTTCTTAGCTTTTTACCTGCTTTTTTAAAGGAAAAGAGGGGGGTGTGCGCCCCCATGCTCCCTGGATCCGCCTCTGCTCAAGCAAATTATTCATCGGTCCGTGGGGGAACCCTCTCCCAACTCCCCAATTAAGATCAGTTCGCCCCTGCTTATCATACATGCAAATAGTTGCTGATAAAATGAATCTGAGATGTACACGAAGGGCAGGACAACTATTATTTCTTGTCTATTTTCATATCAAATCGGTTTACTTTGAACTTGTAAAAAAAAATTTAAAACAAAATCCATTATGAACCGACCTGTATCCTTCTCATGGTATTATAAATTTTGTAGTAGACACGTCAGTCGTATCAAGTATGTTGATCCATGGTCGTATACATGTTTTTTTTTTAAAATAAATCCCGGCGATGCCTTCAAGCTATTGCGGAATTTTGTATCCCGTTTTATCCAGATTTAAGAATTCATCCACGTAATTGGCGGGAGTGTGATATGTTAAATCTGAAAATTTCTCCAATTATCATCTGTTTTGTTATAATAAGACCACGATCTTCTCAGAATTAGATCTTATCTTTCCCATACTTTTTCTGGAAATTTAAGTTCTATCCAATCAGCCACTTAAATGCCCCCACAACGGGGGCCGGAGATTTAGGTAATGAATCGCTCCAGGTGGCATTAATAACTATGTCTGGACTTTTTTAAAAGCACTTAGCATTTTATAATTGCTACATCTCATTTCTTTTACCAAGTGTTGTACCAAATAAAATTTATATCGTAAATATATATATCCATAATACCCAATACAGAATTAATGACGCATATTGACTTTGAAATATAATTTATTCTTTAAAGGTATTAAGTCCCATTTGCAAGCCAAGTATTAAAATGAAAAGGTTAAATTCTAAAGATAATATTGATTTAGAACTTCCCTCAAAACAAAAGGACATTAAAATGTCTTTTAGTGGGAAAATAACGAGCATCAGTTGTCGAATCGACTTTTAATAGTGATTGCAATTATATATAGTCTGATTTTCAGACGCTTGTACCTAATGGTCGTACGTTTTGTGCTGCGCAAAGATTCAATCAGTTTGATTTTAGCCATTACAAGAAGTGGGTTATTGATGTAGACAAATGATCATGTATCTTTACAGCTCATTTTATGTACCGGTATGTTATTACCAAAGAAACAAAAAATGTCAGTCAGTCACTCAGTAGTATCTGAGTGTCTGACAGTGAAGTCTAGAAAGTAATTGGGTTTCCTTGCATATTTGAATACTAGGACACAGCTAACGTTTAAATTTCAGATAGGACATATTATGTGACATATTCATAATTCCTGCAAAGTTCTACAGAGTTTAAAGGTAAAGACCAGTATTGGCAACGCCCCAATTTCAAAAAATGAAATGGAAGCTCTCATTACCAATCATGTGAAAGAATATGTTTTGACTAATACATGATGATAAAAAATTTGCCGGGAAACCGCCTACTAATTCATATATTTGGTAAATTTATTTCTCTCATGGTCTGGTGAGAGAGATAGGGTAGTCCCATATACATCTTTCTGTGTATAGTGCTTGTAACTTTACGAAGAATGAGCCAAATTTCTTATCATTTTGATGATTCCAGAACCTTGCAGATGCTAGATGCTAGATGATCGACCTTTTCTGATCGATTCCACAACGTTTCTTTCACAATGCAATCGCATGACCATTACTGGTCTTTACCTTTAATGTTGGCTGCAAATGGGACATAGTACCCACCTTGTCAACAAAAATTCTTTTCTAAATGCTTTGGCGAGGGAATCTAACAAATCTTGTTTAATATATTTAAAGCCCCTGTGTACTAGTTTGGCCAGAAGGGATTAGACCTCCCTGCATGGTCACCAAGAGGTGGTTTTTTCCAGAAAGAATTCAATATCATTTTCATGTCGCCAGGAAATAGAAATCTCAATTCGTTCTGTTCCTCAGCTCAACTTTAATTAAAACCCCCGGAATGGACATATTGCAATACAAGTGAAAGAGAAAAATTCACGAAAGACAAAAACACACCACAGACACAAACTCTATTGGTATATTATACCAGTATCGGTAATTTATTAAAATTTTATGCTTAAAATCCTTACGAACAAGTTCAAACATGTGATATTTTTAATAACATTCACTTTTTTTGTCTTCTTTGTACAATATGATTGCTGCATTTCATAACATATATATAGAACACAGAACAAAAATCTGAGCTGTGACATAATAAGGGGATTATAAATCCCCAGATAATCTAATCCATTACAATCTACCCAACTCCTCTTTTGAGTTAATAGATTTCATGCCTTATAGTA